CCCCAAAACCCCAAAACCCCAAAACCCCATCAGCCTCAGATTTTAATATATGCTGAAGTAGAATTATAATGAAATTTTATGGCTTAATGTTTCAGTTAATTTTTATTATAGATTATTATTAAAAATGATAAAGTTTTCACTTCTATTGCTATTGACTAGTATAGTCTCCTACACATATTTTAGGAACAACCAATCAGAGAACCAATCTCTAAAGGATTTAAAGTAGAAAATAGAAACATTTGAAAACGATATATATTGCAAGATGTATTCTTGTGAGGACAAAGTAGCTCTAATGTTTTTGCTGTATAGTGAAGTGTACAATCCTTCGATTTGGAATTAGTTTTTTAAGGATGCAGATTCAAAAAAGTATAACATCTACTATCATCAAAAAGATGAGGAAAAGGGTGAATTTAATTTGAAGTACATCCCTTCTTATAGAAAGAAAAAGATAGATTATGTTCCTTCAGTTTGGGGTGGTATAGGGATAGTATAAATATAGAATGACTTATTGTCTGAAGCATTGAAAGATAAGACTAATCAGAGATTTATATTTGTCAGTTAAGGTTGCATTCCCCTTTACAATTTCAATGAAATCTATTAGAGAGCTATGAACACCTAAAAATCTATAATAAAATTTGACTCCCTAAATGAAACTTTTCCCAAATATGAATTTTTGAAGCCTATAATCAAGGAGAAAAATATTTAAAAGCACTAGTAGTGGATGCTATTAACACGTAAACACGCTTAAATGATAATAGAACACACTGATACCATAAATAGGATCCTCTAGAATGCACCTACACTTTAAGAATAATGGATTCCAGATGAAGTTGTCTATGGATCATTGATGAAATCTAAGAACTAAGAAGATGATATCTTAGATAGGTGTGTAACTTATGCAAAGTTTTCTGAAGAGGAAATCACAATATTCAACAGCATTGAAAGATCACAAGTGGATGAAGCAAGAGAAATAGGTTGTTTATTTTTTAGGAGAACTCTGCCTGATAATACTTTTACATTTGATGGAGATTCATTAGAATATATACTTGGGAAGACAAAAGATAGAGTCAAGGAGAAATAAGACTTTTGATTGAACTTCTAAAGATATTCATTATACTAGATTTAGATATTGTTTTACTTCTGAAACTTTTTATTTCTATCATAATTATTTTAGTAGACAAAAATAATTAATTTTGTTTTTAAACTTTCTCAATATTGATATTTATCAGTTTGTTGGGGTTTTGGGGTTTTGGGGTTTTGGGGTTTTGGGG